AATTTATTATACATATTCTAATATTGTCTAGACTCATAAGTAAATTATAATATTTGCCAGGTGACAGTTTTCATTTGTTTTCAATGCCAAACAATATCTCAAATAACTTCAATGCCAAACGACAACATGTCGTTTTTTGTATTTTTTTCCATTTATTCCTACAATCTAACTATATTTCTATAATTCAAAAAATCCTAAAAAATTCCCTTAAAAAACTCCAGAAAGATTTATCAAAATCCGAATAATCGTTTAGAAGAATTATCCTTTCATACACCATTACAGGGGAATTTTATATATAAGATATATCTTGATAGTTTTTTCGACGTTGAAACATATTTCAAAGTAACTAGCAGCCCATTCGTCGAAACAAAAAAGTATTAAAAACTTTTATTTATACGTTTCGACACCAGATGCGTGTCATCATTCAGCAACACAGGACAAAAACACTCAAAAAAATATATTTAAAAAAAATTAAACTTGCAACATATTAGAGGAGGACATTTTTTGGAAAAATAATGAATAACTACAAAATTAAAAACATTTTTGAAAAAAGTTTTGAAATGTAATGATGCATGAAACACGCCCATATCAAGCAAAAGATTCGACTGTAATATAAATTTTTTACTTACTTTATTACCTTTTTTATTTCGACGAATGGGCTGCTAGTTACTTTGAAATATAAGATATATATATATATATATATATATATATATATATATATGTGTGTATAACTGTAATAAAATATCAATAATCACTTATAACAAAAAAATAACAATATATAAATAGAAAGTACTTTATTGAGAAATATTCAAAAATACTATTTCATTATAATATAATACAGTTTTTGTGTCATTAATTAAAATATTTAAGAGATATAACCTTTCAATAATGATCGAGTGTCTATCAAATCAAATCTCCTAAAATTCTAAAAATCCAATAAAATATCCATTTCTAGCTCTAGCTCAATAAAAGTAAAAAAAATCAGATTCATCTCTACATCATCATCATATAACATTATCTTATACATACACATCTATCTATTATATATCATTCGAGAGCATCATCATCATTCAGATCATCCTATAAATTATAGTACATATTGGGATACTAATTGAATTATTAATGATTAAATTATAATTACTATAATATATTTATTTATATTTATATTTATATGTATATGTATATGTATAAAGTGGGAAGCGAAGAATTATACTACAATGGGGGATCGATGGGAGCAAGCGAGGGAAAAGGGTTATTTGGGGGCTTCGTCAATACACACACATATATATAAATTAAACTAGATTAATATTTATTTAGTAATCGATAAGGATGATTTGTGGTATGATTGTATTTGATATGGGGGCTCTGGGTTTTTTGTATCAAGCAGATGACAGACAGAGAACATTTCATAAATGATACAAGATATATATATATATATATATATATATATATATATATATATATATACATAAACAATCTGTTTTATATTTTAGTAACTTAATTTACAATTATTATACTGGTGATGGGACAAACTGATATATTTGTTGAATATTTAATAAATTATATATATATATATATATTGTATAAACTTTAGATTTTTTATTATAATAATTTAACTCTTTCTAAATATTCGTGAAATGTTTTTTTTTTGAAGCCAAATAAACAAAACAAAAAGCAATAAATAACTTTTTTTATATACGTTTTGACGCTGTATGCGTCTCATCATTCAGCACTTTGGACAAATTTAAACTAGGAAAAAACAAGTTTTTGTTTTTGTCTATTTTGGTTTTTATAAAATCAAATGTTTTATTCTGTATATTTTCCTTATTAATTAGCTACTAATTATATAAAATGTGATTTAAATTGATTTAGAATAGAGTAAAATCATTTAAACTTAAGTAAGACTATAAAAAACGAGTTCAATCAATTTAAAATTAAGTAAAATTACTTAAAATTGATTCAAATCGATTTAAAATTCATTAAAATTAGTTAAAATTGATAATTGATTAAAATTATTTGAAATTGGGCTCAATCGATTTAAAATTCATTAAAATTATTTTGAAATTGGGTTCAATCAATTTAAAATTGAGTAAATCTATATAAAATTGAGTCGAAAGATTTATAATTGCATAAAATTGAGTTAAGTCGATTTAAAATTGAGTAAAATTATTCAAAATTGAG